CATTTACTGGCCGTTTGGAGTTACAAGGACACTGAAACAAAACGGACGCGATCATTGCAGCATCTCCATGGTCAGGTGATCAGAATTCAGGTGCTTGGCACCTGGTTCACATTTATGACGGCTGCATTGTCCTGTGGTCATGTGACCACCACCTGTAAACCTTCCCAGCCAGCTCCCGACAAGCAAAGTCAATGGGGGGAAGAAGCCAGATTCGCTTAACGACGGCATTTATTTGCTAACAATGGTGCGGAGAGAAAAGGCCATAAAATGGGGCGAAACTCACTTCACAACGGCCTGAAGATTTTGGGCTGAATTGTGGTCGTAAATCAAGGACTATCTTAGGAACATTACTCAAGAAACAGTCACACGGGGCGTCTAATCTGAGGGGCGAGAAAAGTAGACAGGGTGTCCTCCACTTACAACAGTTCATTTAGAGACCGTTCAAAGTTACAACAGCACTGGAAAAAGTGACTTCATGACCATGTTTCACACTTACGACCGCTGCAGCACATCCCCTGTGGTCACGCGATCAAATGTTTGGCAATTGGTTCGTATTTATGACCGTTGCAGCATCCCAGGGTCACATGATCCCCTTTGCAACCTTCTGACAAGCGAAGCCAGTGGGGAAAGCCAAATTCACTTAACGACCGTGTCACGAATTTGAACGACTGCAGCAATCCACTTCACCACTGTGACCAGGAAGGTCATAAAATGGAGCAAAACTCACTTAGCAAACGAATAGAATTCTTTATTGGCCAAGTGTGACTGGACACACAAGGAATGTCTCACTTAACAAGAGAAACGTTGGACTCAATTCGAATTGGCTTGAAAGTCTACCTTGCTATTTTCCCAGGTGCTCGACAAGTCCACTGCTTAGGTGTGTTTGTGTATGTGGGAACCACACAAAATGCAAGGATTTGAGGACTGAGCAGCCTCTATATATCCCTGTGAGCAAAGCAGTTAGCCCAGCCTTCCACAACTGGATGCCAGATGTTTTAGGTCATGGAGATTGAAGACAATGCTGGTTGATAACGATCAGAGCTAAAATGCAGCTTATCTCCAGCGTTTTGGGGAAAATGCCTTAATGTATCTTGAAAGACACAACTTTCTCAGATGTCTATGGAGGTTCTCAAGTCATACAGGCCAGTGGTCACCAACCAGTGGGCCGGGGACCACTGGTGGTCTTGCAAGAAAATTTTGGTGGTCTGCAGAGAAAGGTCACCCCCAAAGCAATTAATCCAGGCTGCACAGGAACACAAGGCTGTGCCACTCACATGGCCCGCGGGAATACAAGGCTTGCGTCGCTTGCATTGCGAACAACACGAGGTAGTGAGGGGAGGGGTGAAAGGGGGGAACTTGCCCCCACTCGCCTTGCCTGGCCACCGGGCTGCTTCTTTCCACTTCTTTCTTCTTCTGCTTTTGGCTGCACGCACGGAAAGCAGCAAAAGTCTTTCTCTCTCTCCCCAAACTCCCCCAGAAATGGGTCTTTGGGACCCTGCAAGGCCTCCTGCTCCAAGAGGTGCGCCGGCACAAGTCTCACAAAGACTCATTTCTGGCGGAGTTTGGGGGAGAGAAAGAAAGACTTCTACTGCTTCTGCTGCTTTCCTTGCATAAAGCCAAAAGCCTCTCTCTCTCCCTGAGAACGGAGCTGGAGACGGTATCCTGCGATCCCAAATAAAGAATGATCGATGGGTAGGAAAACGGGGTGGGGGATTTTCCTGCAGACTTTTTTGGGGATTTTCCTAGGGTCTCTGATCTGCGGGATTTAAAATTATGAGTTTGATGGTCCCTGAGGTCCAAAAGGTTGGCGTTCCCTGATCCAGGCAACAGTTGTCCCAAAGACGTTTTTTCAAAAGGCAAATGGAGTTTTTGTTTTTCCTTGAAGACTCTCATCCAAGAAACTTCTTCAATTCCTCCAAGAAAAACAAATTTTCAAGGAAAAATCTTCAAGGAAAACCAAAATCCAGCTGACTTTTGAAAAAAGCACCTTTGGGACTAACTTGCTTCCTGCAGAAGGGAAGATCTAATTTTTCCAACTTATGGAAAAATGGATTCACATCTGAAAGCTGAAGATTTGCAGGGGCACCAAATGGACTTGAGTGAGATATGTTGGGTTTGATAGAGTGATGCAATGGCCTAGAGGCGGAGCTCAGGAGGCTGTGAGTTCGATCCTAGGTAGAGGCAGCTATTTCTTTCTCTGGGTATAATTGAGAATATATCTGCTGAACAAAACTCTGCATTGGTAACAGGAAGGGCATCCGGCCAGTAAACCCTCTGCTACCTCCATTCAGTTGCTCAGACTCCACTCCGCAAGGGATTATGGGGGTTGTTAAATGATGATGATGATGTGTTGGGTTTGATCTCAGAGGGTGCAGGAAAACCTGTGTGCAACACTACAAAGTTGTTATGCAAAACAACCATGGTTGAAAATGCGCCTCTGCTGGCTCCAAGCTGGGTGAGGAACATAACCATAGTGCTTCCTCAAACCTTGGAGAGCAGGCTGCTGGCTAAAAGGGGGGAAACCCTCAACCCTCCCCTCCATCTCACAATTGCCAAGAAGGAAGACAGCTGTGCATCCTTCTTTCTAGTGTACCCCAAGGACTGAATGTACACAATTATGCTCTTCTAACCTAAATTACATTCACGCAGCAGGCTAACCTAACCAGAATTAAAACTCTCTTTTGCACAGGACTTCCAACGCCAAGGTGCCAGAAGGGCTTCATTCATACACACCCCCAAAAAACAAACCAAGGTCAATGCAGGTTTGTGAATCGGGGTTTTACATTGGTCCTGTTAAAGGCGTTGTGTGAACACACTCAAGGAAGAGGAACAACAGGCTCCAATTCATTACCGAATAGACAACTTTATTCAATTTGAGATCTTCTAATCTAAACGCATGTAGGGTTTCCTAGCTCACCAAAGCCAAGTTGGCCAGGGAATTTTGCTAAAAAAAAAGCAAAAGAAATCAAAATACATGCCCCTACTTTGCAAGAGACCAGAGAAGTGCAAGAAACATCTCAAATCAAAGCATCCGGATACTTCTTTTACTGGGAGGGAATACAGAAACTGATTTTAAGGACTTTTTGAAAAATTTAATGGCTTTTTTTTTTTTTTTAAATATCTTGCCCTATTCTACTCTCCCGGTTGCATAGAAGAGGACTGAGTTGATTAGCATCATCCAAAAGCTTCCGGCAGTGGAAAAAAAAAAAATCTTTGCTGAAAAAGCAATAATTGAACCCGGGTTCAAAAGATAAAAAAAATTTCAAAGAAATGGGTGTTTCATAATCTCAAGCCTTTAGGTGCTGCTTAGCTATAAGGCACCAGAGGATTCAAATCTGCAAAGACCGTCTCAGTTAGCGAAAGCATCACAAGCCAGGATATCTAATGTGGAGATTATAGTTTAAAATGAGTTTCTCAGCCAGGCCTTTCAAGTTCTCCAGAATATTAAAAAAAAAAAAGAGAGAGATTTGCTGATATCTTGATGGCTGACGTACATTGCACTTTAAAGCAATTTCCCCATTCTCTATTCTGCAATCCCGTCACACGCGTAAAACGACTTTAAAAGCTGATTTTTATCTCCTGGACAAATCCAAGATAAGCCATCTCAATCATGACGGCGACCCCAAGGACAAGAAGAAGAACCAAATTCAGGGTGTCAGTTGCAATTAAGATTATGACATTTGTCTACTGAATCGTAATATACAATAATATTATATACACTGCAGCCTTGAAGACCTGCTGATATCCAAATCCCAAACACAGAGAGTCCTCAACTTACGACCACAATTGAAGGCGAAGTTCCTGTCCCTAAGCGAGACAGTTGTTAAGTGAATTTTTGCCCCCTCTTATGAACTTTCTTGCCACGGTTGCTATGTGAATCACTGCAGTTGTTAAACGTGTAAGTTAAACAGTCATTAAGTCACTTTGTGCAATGGCCTTTGGAACTTTGAGCGGTCACCAAATGAACTGTCGTAACTCGAGGACTACCGGTATATAAAAAAAAAACCCAATATGCATACAGAGATATTGTCAAACGAGGCTCAGCTAAGCTGACAAACTAAGCGCCTGAACTTGCACAACAAAAATGAAATCTAATTGCAATATATGTGGAAACCTTTTTCAAACAAGTTCAGAAAAATAGCAAAACAAAACAGGAGTTTGTGACCTCCTAAAAACTCCCTTTTATCACACATTTGTTCTTTTCCTTTTTCAACCTGTGAGGAGCCACCAAGAAAGACATGGAAATATGAACAAGAGACAATACACGCGGCCTGTTGGTGCACTATTAACATTTGGTTTATGCGCAAAGCGGTATTAATTTTCACTCGCCCTCTGGCATAAAATCATAAATATAAGTTAAGTATACCCATGAAAAGGAACAAGTAGCCCATTCTGCAAAGCTACAGTCGATTTCACCCAACCTGTTCTCCAACAGTGATTAGAGAGATATTAACACTCAGAAGACGAAATGCAGAATCTGAAAGTTGAAAGGGACTCTGGGGGTCATCTAGTCCAACCCCCTGCCCAAGCCGGAGACCCTATACCATTCTGGACAAATGGCTGCCCAACCTTTTTCTTGAAAACCTCCAGTGATGGAGCCCCCACAACTTCTGGAGGCAAGCCATTATAGTGTGTTCTATAAATTCCTCCTTAATTCTAGGTTGGATCTCTCTTGAATGATCTCCACCCGATTGGACTGGAAGGGGCTTGGAAGGTCTTCTAGTCCAACCCCGCCCCTTGCCCAAGCGGGAGACCCTATATGTACCATTCTGGGCAAAACCTCCAGAGATCGAAGCACTCACAACTTCACAACGCAAGCCACCATCCACAACGCAGGTCATTCCAGTTGGATATAGGCTGATTTTCTCGGTGTCTCTCAATTCCACCCCTCCTCCAAACCCTCACCCCATCTTGGCAGGGAACCCAATGTAGACCTTGCACCTTCCCAAAAATCCAAGGGGAAGAATTACGAGTTGGAAGGCCTCCCCCCGCCGCCATACCTGATCCATGGCCGAGACCATCCCATCTAGCCATCCTGGAAGCTTCTCTGAGACCTCTGGAGCTCTCTTCCCAAGCTGGTCATAATACGTTTGGAAGAAAAGAAGAAGAAGAAGAAGAGGAGGAGGAGGAGGAGGAGGAGGAAGAGAGGTGGCCAAATGCGGTAGAACACAAGAGAAGGAGAGGGAAGCAAGCAAGCGAGAACTTACTTAACAGGAAAGGGAGTGACGGCGGAAATGGCGTAACCAAATGCAAGACCCAGGGCCTTTTTGGGGAAAGCTGCAGCCGGCGGCAGAGAGAGCTCTCAAGAAGGGGTTCTCCTAGACATAAGGAAGGCAGTCACCGCACTGAGGAAGTGGTTGAGAAGTGTGGCAGAAGAGAGAAGGGCGGGGACCGAGAGAGTCCCCGTCTTCCCATCCTATTGTTAAAAGACTGCAACAGACATTTGGCCGACATGTTGAAACTCAAGATGCAGGAAGCTTTCTGGGGACGGGATGGGACGATCCAATGGGCACTTTATGGACACTCAAAAGGACAGAAGAAGAGACCACACTAGTGGTGGCTAACTTTTTTCAGCTCCCGTGCCAGGGGGTGTCAAAATCAAGGCCCGCAGGCCGGATCCAGTCCTGCGGGGTGGTTAGATTCTGGTCCACGGGGGCGGCCGGCCTGGAAAATAGAAAAAGGACTGGCCCGCGGTGCCTCTGCCAGCCAAAACAGGGCGCCGTGGTGGTGGTGGGGGTCATGCAGCCCTCCCCCACAGTCCATTTTGGGCATGGACGGCCTCCTGCAGCACTCTGGCAGCCAAAACGGGGCACGGGGGGCTCATGCAGCCCCCCCTGCACCCTGTTTCGGCCAGCAGAGTACTGCAGGAGGTGTCAGTCCCATCTCTCCCACCCCACTGGCCGGCCCACAGAGAACAACATAATTGGGCCCTTTAAGAAATCCAGTTTGACACTCCTGGACTAGACAGTCACTTGTCTGAGACAGTATAGATTCTCCTGCCTGAGCAGGGGGCTTGACTAGAAGACCTCCAAGGTCCCTTCCAGATCTCTGTTCTATTCTATTCTATTCTATTCTATTCTATTCTATTCTATTCTATT